ATTGGATAAAAATCCTATTTTAAGCTATATATATCATTATTGTGATGGGGGGCCCTGCAATAAGTCATAGCCCCGGGGCTCTTATTAAGACCTTAGTGAGGTCTTAATGCGGCCCTGCATAGGCGTAATGGTTTTTCTACTGTACAGGCCGTATATTCTATTGTCCTACACCAACCCTACCCCTAAACCTACCCCTCACAGGAAACTTTCTGCATTTTTAGATTTTCAAAAAACGTAATTCTGTGTGATTTATAAGCTTTTGTACCCGTGGGGACCACAATTTAGGTCCCCACCGTGACACGAGTCCCCATGAGTCTGTGTGTAGTCAGGTTTAAGTCCCCACCAGTATATATAAACCAGTTCACACACTCACTCACACACACACACACACACAGAGGTGTTAAATGAGAGTGTTATTTCATGCTGTGTTTTGACCCTGAAGGTAAGTGTGTTACTGTGACTGGAGGAGATTTCTGAGCATGTGTTTATGAATGACACACACACACACACAGAGAAAGAGAAACTTTCAGAAAGAGACTTTCATCTGCATTCATCTCAGTCTCACAATAAAATCAACATGACAAAGCTTTTCATCTTTTATCCTGGAAATTAATTTAATTTTCTGCCCTCAAATCATTTCTCATTTAATATCGAGTCACACTTTTTATTGTGAGTCAAGACGAGTGACTGGATAATGGGCAGCTTATTTATTTATTTGTTTGTTTGAAATTATTATTATTATTATTATGTATTGATTAGTTCAGGAGAACGTGCAGCGCTTCATTAACGGGCTGGAGAGTCCGAGCGCTCCACGAGTCACTGTAATTAACCGCGAGCCACACTTCACATGTGATGGTGTGTTTGCCGTGTGAAAGCGTCACACTGATGTGGCGTGTGCTGTCGGCTCCTGAGTTCGCTTCCACGGCCGTTTCTACCGTTAGTTTCCCGTTCGCTTCGAATCGGCCTGATCTGCGTGTGACCTCAGGCGCCGCTGCGATTTAGCCACAGCCAATTACCCAGAATGCCCTGTCAGGCCGCAGGAGCGCTGATTCGAGGCGACGGCGGGCTCTCGTCTCCCTCTACAGGTGATATCCGCTCACATCCAAACACACGCTGTTACAAACAATCATGTAAAGCCCAAAGTGCACGACAGATTGAATCACAACTCAAAGCTCAGAGAGACTCCCAGAGTCTTTGTTCTGCGTCCCCTCCAGCTTCTGTTAAGATCTCATCATGAATAATGGAAACGGCATGAAAACAAGAGTCATAAATATTCAGCAGGTCACAATAAAGCCTGTGATTCACAGAACGAATCTTTATAGGTTTATTTCTATTTCAGTTTTAGTAATTCCGTAATAATAACTTAAACTTATCATTTCATTTAGGGAACATTTCTAATTTTAGTTTTAGTTTGAGTGATTTTGCTCTGTGCTTTTGTCATTTTTGTTATTTGTATAGGTTTATTTATATTAAAGTCTTAGTAATTTTAGATTCTAAAGTTAAACCAATTTATTTAATTTAGGCAACATTGCTATTTTTGTTTTTATGTGTAAGTGTTTAATCTAATATTTATATTTTATTTACTTTCAGCTTTATTTCAATGACTGAAAATGATTTAGTTTTAGGGTTCGGTTCGTGAACAATAACAGCAGATGCTTTATGTTGAATCCAGCAGCAGCTGTCAGGTGTGTTTGTCTTGGTTAATGGTTTCTAAAATCCTGAATTTAACTTACCCTCCACTGCTATAATATAAACCAGCGTTAGCATTCGTCACATTTCACTGCAGAACAATGCAGGTGGATCTAGTGAATGACGGATGGAGATCAGAAACTCAAGCACGTCCAGGTGAAATGAAGACGCTTCAATGATCATTTTCTGTCAGATCTGTCTGACAACTTTAGTGAACATCATCATGACGACAAACCCACATGATTGTGTGTGTGCATGTGTGCTTGTGCGCATGTGCAGATATCTCCTCAGTGTGTGAGTTTGTGTGTGTGAATGTGAATGTGTGTTAGTGTGTATCTCTCTCTGTGTGTGTGTGCAGATATCTCCTCAGTGTGTGAGTGTGTTAGTGTGTGTGTGTGTGTGTGTGCTTGTGTGTCTCTCTCTGTGTGTGTGTGTGTGCAGATATCTCCTCAGTGTGTG